CCCCTTCCTTAGCTCAAGGTCTGGATCGGCCACTGCACGTAGATATCCTACAATCTCGCTGTGAAGAAACACTTACCCATGCGCTTTGTTTTTGTTTTTGAAATTTCCCTCAAACTTTTCATAAAGCACGTGCTATCCAGCCATAATGTAAGTTTTGTCTTTAAGGTTCATTTGTTATATATTTGAACATTTTTGAACTTGAACGATATCCCTACCGCCTGCAATCCCCCCGATCCTGCCCCAGCCATCCCATAAGAATGTAGCTTGGACAAGAGATTGGAAAATAACTGACCTTGCTTCCGAAATTGATGACGATGGCTTCTGGAAGATGCCAGGCATACAAACGCCAAAAGAAAACCGCTCAATACAATCATTGTGCGTGTTTAGTTGGCAGCTGTTGAAAGAAGAAAGGCGAAATGAACATCGCCATACATGCATACCGTATATTCTGAATCTGAGCTCATTTATCGTGTTTCTACCTATGTGATAAATAATTCATCGACACCAACCATTTCGTTGTCAGGCCCTTGTTGTTCAGATTCAAAAACAGAATTTCCAGAAATGGTTGTCATGTAAACACGTATTTAGGCTGAATTATCAGACTCGAGAGAGCAGCGCAAATCGAGTCTATCATGCATTCTGCATCGTTCCCTTTCAATCCTTCAGTCAATTCAATGACTTCTTCTTCGACGATGCCGTTCAGCGACGAAATCACTCACACATTCGCGTTCGGGTTAGAGGAGGATAACTTTGCCAAACAAAACAATTGATAAATAAAGCCCTTTCGGAAGCCTGTCGGCAGGATCCCAAGAACATCAAGGCCTGCGAGACATAATTCCAACGCTTCGATTCTTCCGTTTTCGAAGCTTTCTATTTTCGGAAAGCGATATAAACATTCCAGCAAGACGTCGCCAATACGTTGGCCTAGCATACACCAATCATATTTTTGCGTTCTTGCATTTTTTGATGTTTTTCCAAACCATCTCGCCTTGTTGGTCGTCCATCCTTTTGAGCGCTTCTCACCATCAGGATTTCGAGTGGCCATTTTTTTTCCTCCAGGTTTTCTCTCGCGTCACGCACGAAGGGTTAAGCGGAAGAGGGACTACTCGTAGTTTATGACGCTCGCGGCTAAGTTTTTCTCCGACATGTTGTACTCATATTTGATGTTCAGTTAGGATTGGCAGCCTCTTACAAAATTTTGCCAAGTAAACGTTCCGGAATGTTTATTCCCTTTATTAAATCCATTTTGAAATCAATGGTTATCCTTGCAATCTGATTGGCTCTCAGTGGTGCGATTTATTCACGAATCGCACTATTTTTTGCTCTAAATCGCATCTTTTTCCCAGCCAATGAGAATGGGCCGGTAAAACAAAACAACCAACCAGATTTCAAGATTAGTTTAAAGTAATCAAT